GCATCAGATGATAATAATTTAAGAGCAGTTATTAAAATATAGTTTAATAAAAATTGCGCTGATTTGTCAGAATAATTCAAACATATTTAGATTTATTGTCGGAGGATTCACAGAGTCAAAGCTGCGGCTCGCAGGAGCAGCAGATTTCCAGTGGAGGTCGAAGCTGTAGTTTGACTTCTCCTCCATGAATATTAATCAGTCGTGACTGCAGCCTGCGAGTCCGCGCTCAGGGTGAACTTTGTTTCTGTTTCATTTGGCCTGAAGCTGCTGTCCAAACGAAGCTTTGTTCAGCCTTTTGTTCCTGATTTGAGGCTCAGAAACAACATTTAGTTTTTTGTTTCAGAAACAAACCTGATGTGTGAAACAAGGAGCGTATGTTTTACGCTCTGCAGGAAAAAAAAACCTCCTTTTCATCAAAACTATCAAGTTTTTACACAAACTGAAGCTTTTCATTTTGTTTGAAGGAAATTTATCGTTTATTCAAATGTTTTCATGTTTAGAACAGAGAAATTAGATTTACAGACAGATTTTAGATGACAGTTTATTAACTGTTTATTTTTAGGATGGAAGGAAAAATTAGACCCAAACATCCAGAAGGAGAAAACTAAACTCAGATTTAACGTCTGATTTTTCTCTCAGTGATAAATGATTTGTTGTAACTCAGAGCCTGTTGTGTTGTTTTGAAGAGGGTTCAGCAGAGGTCACGACCTCCTCAGTGGATTCTCTGCTCACGAGTCCCTCGGTGTCTTTTCAGCGGGGTGGGCTTGGCTCGAGCCCACTTTGAGAAGCAGCCTCCGTCCAACTTGAGGAAGTCCAACTTCTTCCACTTTGTCCTGGCGCTGTACGACCGGCAGGGCCAGCCCGTCGAGATCGAACGCACCGCCTACGTGGACTTCGTGGAGAAAGAAAAGGTGCGACACACGAACCAGACGTGGGCCAGATGTTTTTTTTACACAGTAAGATAAAAAAAACAGCTGCTGACAGAAAACAAACGCACCTCAGTGTCACTTTACATCCATTTAGTTTTATTCAGATGAATCATTTTTTCTTCTGTTTTCAGCATCTCATTTTTTGAGCTAATTCTACAATTCATGAATCAAAACTTTTAGCTCCTTCAAGGCATTTAAGGCTACAACTTTAGGCATTTCAGCAACAAACACTTTTTGAGATATTTCCCCTTTTTTTCCTGTAAAATAACTTTAGCTGTATGTGGTGCCATTTGTAAAGTTACACAGTCAAAAATTACCACCAATATTTTTGTTTTATTTAGACTTTTATAAGAAAAAAATAACAGATTTATTTTTCAAAGTCAGTTTTTCACCATATGATTCATACATTTATAAATGTCATAGTTTATAAACTAAACATTTAACTAACAAATTAAATATTTAGTTTACAAGCTAAATATTTAACTTGTGACTTAAATATTTAGTTTTGAGATAAACATTTAACTTGAAACTTAAATATTTAGCTAGCTACCTAAATATTGAAGTTAAATATTTAGGTGGCTAGCTAAATATTTAAGTTTCAAGCTAAATATTTAGCTTAAAACTAATTATTTAAGTCACAAGTTAAATATTTAGCTTGTTAACTAAATATTTAATTTGTAAGTTAAATATTTAGTTTATAAACTATGACATTTATAAATGAATGAATCATATGGTGAAAAACTGACTTTGAAAAATAAATCTGCTCTTTTTTTCTTATAAAAGACTAAATAAAACAAAAACATTGGTGGTAATTTTTGACTGTGTAACTTTATAAACAACACCACATATTAGTTGTTTTCAACATCCTTGCAATTCTTCAAAATAGTTAAACTGCATTTTTCACCTTTTGTTCTGCCTTTTTTTAAAACTTTTTTTTGCACAAATTTTTAGCTTCTTTTAGCTCTCCCCCCTTTTTAAAGTTTTTTTCAGCTTTTCAGCAAATTTATTTTTATTTTTAGTGCTACTATGAGCTTTCAGCTAACTTTAGCTTTTTATAGCAAAATTCACTTTTGTGATTATTTCAGCTGCTTTTTCTGCTACGTTTTTTGCTAATTTCATATTTTTTTTGACTATTTTGCAAATTTTTATTTTATTTAGCAAAAATATTTCAGTGTTAAAGATTCTCTGGTTGCAGGTTTGGTTTCACTTAATTCTGATTCTGGGTCCAGTTTGAGTTTCCTTGTTTTTTATGTTAAATGCTTTGAGTTAAACGTGGTCTTAGAGCCAACATGAGTTCAGTTCTGTTTCAAGCTTCTCTGGTTCTGTTGGTTTAGTCCTCGTTAATCCGTCCATCTGTTTATTAGAAAGATTTTGTGTTGGACCAGGATCTGGGTTTGGGTTCCAGTTAGAGCAGAGAAAATGACAAAATGTTCTGTAAGTTCTCGGGTCAGGGCGTAGAAATCAAACAGATTTCAGAGCTGTACTGCAAAAAACTGTCCATCTTACCAAGTTTTAAATCTTATATCAGCCAAAAAGTCTTTTTGATCTTGTTTTCAGACTGATTTACTAAACAAGAACTGATTGTGTAAGAATAATCATCTTGTTTTCAGAATGTGTAAGATTATTTGTCTTGTTAGTCTGAAAATTTGACTCAGATTAAGACAAAATTTTCTGCCAGTGGAGTAAGAAAATTTTACTTGGTAAGATTCTTGAAATAAGAAAAAATGAGTCAAATCAAGTATTTCATGAATCTTACCAAGTAAAATTTTCTTACTCAACTGGCAGAAAATTTTGACTTAATTTGAGTCAAATTTTCAGACTAACAAGACAAATAATCTTACACATTCTGAAAACAAGATGATTATTCTTACACAATCAGTTCTCGTTTAGTAAATCAGTCTGAAAACAAGATCAAAAAGACTTTTTGGCTGATATAAGGTTTTAAAACTTGGTTAGATGGACAGTTTTTGAGTAATTTTGTCAACAGACAGACAGAAAACATAACCTCCTTGGAGGAGGTAACAAGAATTGTCATACTCAATACAACTTTATTTTTATTTTATGATCAAACAGATTTTCTTTCTGTCTTTCAGTTATTTATTTATTTTTACTACCTAACATTCTTGCACACACACACCACCCCCCCCACATAATAAGGTTAAGGTGTTTGTTTATGTGTAAGAGGCAAGAGAGAGGTTGTTTTATTCAGCTATATGCA